CAATCTTCGACTAAAGACGTAACCTCTCGATCAGAGAAGTCTGGTGTCGGTGCCTCTTCCCATTCGAGCAAGCAACGGGCTCCTTCTCCTCCTCCCAGGCAAGTCGAGCGCCATCCCTCCTACTCGACAAAAGAGGGCGACGCCTCCAAGAAACGTCCCCGAACCGAGGTGACTGGTCCTCATTCCGCTAACCCTCTGCCTTCCCCAAGCGACCACAACTCGAAGCTGCTTCTTCTGGGAATCCTCCTCCCTCGTATTCTTCTCTTTCACTTGTGTCCGCTGGCCCTCGAGAGACTGTGTCTCGGCTGATGAGCTTCCTACCATTCGACGATACCCATCGCTGGGGGGGTGAATCGTCGTAATCAGGTCGAGTATGTCGTTCGTGCAGTGACGCAGGTACATTTTCTTCTTAACATTATTTTCGAGCATCCTGCCCTGTGTTGTACTTATTTTTATTCTTGCTACAGACTCTGGCCTCCATCGTGCCTCTCCTCGAGGAAACGCTGAATAGCACAGGTCGCCCGATTCCCGTGCTCGAGGGCGACAATAGGCGTCTCGAGGAGGAGAATAGGAGGTTGAGGGCCGAGAACGAGGACCTGCTCAAGACACGCCACGCCTTGGCGGAGCAGCTAAAAAAGGATGAGCAGCGGTACAAGGACGCGCTGAAGGGCAAGGACCAGGCTCTCGAGGCGGAGAAGGCTAGTCGTAAGAAAGAGGTTGAGGTCGCTGCTATCACTGCGATCGAGCAATCTCGTCGGGCCCTGTGGAGGACCCAAGTTGGCCAGAATTTCCTCCGGGCCTATCGAGAGCAGTTGATCAAAGATTACCTTTGCTCGACGGCTTTCCTCAAAGAGGCTGCTGAGATGGGGATGGACTTCTACACTTATAGCATGGAGGAGGTCGAGCGTCAACTGAAGGTGATGGGGTTCACCGGCGAGCTCGACCAGGATAAAACCTGGGAGACGATTCCCTCTGCTCCCTCTAACTTCGCCGGCGATCCCAGTTTGCCTGCTGAGCATCCTTGGTGGACCGCGTCGTTAGAGCGGACTTTGGCGGGGGATCTTTCCTTGAAGGGTTCGTT